GAGGAGGAGGAGGAGGAGGAGGAGGAGGAGGAGGAGGAGGAGGAGAAGGAGGAGGAGAAGGAGGAGGAGGAGGAGGAGGAGGAGGAGGAGGAGGAGGAAGAGGGGGACACCGCTCCCCTGGACGCCGCGGGCCCTCAGCAGGCCCTCGGCGGTCGCTCGGCGGGCCGCTAGGAAGACGACCCGGGGGGCGGAGCCTGCCCCAAGGGGAAGACCCCGTTCCGGGGCCCCCAGCGGGGCCCTCGCCTCCCCCCCCCCCCGCCTCCCCCCGTCCTCCCGCCATCCTCCCCCTCCGCCTCCACATCCCCATCCTGCCCTCCATCGTGCGGCTCTCCCCTCCAGGCCCCTCTCCCTCCTCGTCCAGCCCCTTCCTCCTGCTCCTCGTCGCTCTCCGCCCGCTCTCCGCCCGATCTCTTTCCAGAGGGGCTGGACCACGGTGCCACTGGCCTGCTATCGAAGTTATGAAAGCGCGAACGTTATGACATCTGGTTCCCTCCCTCATCCCCCATCATCCTCATCATTTTCTTCCTCCACCTCCTGCCTCTCCTCCTCCTCCTCCTCCTCCTCTTTTCCTCCTCCTCCTCCTCCTCGACCCTCGACCCTCGGAAGGAAGGTCGTGGGTCGCCGCGCCCTAGAAGGTGGCGAATGAAGGTGCTCTTGCCGGTGGAGTACTGGCCTATTAGGAGGACCTCCGGCGGAGGGGCAGCGGGGGGAGAGGTGCAGACAGCAGCGCCAATCCTAGAAGAAAAAAACGCCATAGACATATAAACTGTTGGCGCTCTGATCTACGCCGGGCCCCCCTCCCTGGCGCGCGGAGCGCGCAAGGGGCGGCGCCAGAGGCCCGGGGGGGCCCAGCGCGGATCCAAGAAATCCGCGCGGAGCGCCGAAAAAATATGTTTATAGTTTTTTCTCTTCGAGATCTTCCTGGAGGACGGAAGAGCACTTGGTTCAGAACAAACTTCGGAAACTTCGGACGGCTCCCTCCTCCGCTGGCGCTGGACTCCGCCCGGCACCCGTGTGCATGGTCGGTTTCCGCATGTACCCCTGCCCGCGAGAGTTGTGCTGCTGGATGAGCCACAATTGTACTCGCTGTGCTGGTTTTCTGAAGACTGCGCGGCTAGAAAGGCGCCACCTCCCCAGGATCCAATAGGGCGTGATACACCTGCACTGACCCATCCTCGCCCCAGAATCGGCCTGGCAAGCATCGGTGTACGGCAGGTTCCTGCGGTGTCGAAGTTGGCTCTGGCTTCTAACACCGCGTAATCCCTACACTTACTTGAGCGATGTCCACTCGCGGAGGTTCCCAGAGGCTATCGGTCAAACCTTTCGCATGGCTTTGCACCGTGGGTCTCCTCCCTGTTGGCACCAGAGCCCGAAACGCGCCCCAGGAGGGTGAACGCCCGCGCCAGCGCCGTCGCCGCGTCGAGGACCTTGCGCGAGCCTGGCGCCAGCTATACGAGCGGGCACCTCACGAGGGCCAGGGTGAGCCCTGTGACCCTGATCGAGCCCTCGGCGGTCGTGAACTCAACCAGCAGCTCCCTTCGTTAGACGAGCGCGCTCCGCGACTCGCAAAGTGACTACTCGCAAATGGCCTGGATCCGCCATGGGAGATTTACGATACACCTCGTTGATGCAGACAGATGTTTTTCGGACGCTTGCGAGTAGGCACTCTGCGAGTAGCGGAACGCGCTCGGTGACAAGTGCCGGCCGCTCGGGTGCGAGCAGTAGTGCCCGCTGGGAGGGGCAAGGTGATGGTGGCGATGCTGGTGATGTGCTCACGAGTTGGCGACGATGCAGGACGACGATGCGACGACAATGCATGATGGCAATGGGTTGACACAGTGGTGGCGCTGGCGAAAAAGCGTGATGGCGATGATGACGGTGGCAACTATATTTGGCCCCATACCCGTTTGACGATGACTGTGGCGATGAGTGTGATGATGAGTGTGGTGGTGAGTGTAATGATGCTTATGGTGATCGCGGTGGTGGCGAGTGCGGTGGTGAATGCAATGATCGTGGTGGTGATGAGACGGGACACCGACGGGACACCGACGGAACACCGACGGGACACCGACGGGACACCGATGGGGCACAGACGGGACACCGACGGGACACCGATGGGGCACAGCCGGGACACCGACGGGACACCGACGGGACACCGACGGGACACCGACGGAACACCGACGGGACACCGACGGGGCACCGACGGGACACCGATGGGACACCGATGGGGCACCGACGGGACACCGACGGGACACCGACGGGACACCGCCAAGACACCGACGGGACACCGACGGGCAAGAGGGCCCCGATACGTCCAGAGATCGGCCCAAGACGCCCAACAAGGCCCCAAGACGGCCCAAGGGGCCGCCAAGACGGCCCCAGAGGCCTCCAAGAGGCCTCCCTAGAAGGTCTCAAGAGGTCAACAACATGTTTTTCCCGGTGGCTCTTCAACGTGTTTGGCCCACTCGTCTTTTCGTCTTTACCGACGCTCCAAGACGGCCCAAGTGGCCTCCAGGACCACCCCGAAACGGCCGAAGAGGCCTCCATGAGGGTCGCAAGAAAGCCTAAGAGCGCCTCAAGACGGCCCAAGAGGCGTCCAAGACGGCCCAAGAGGGCCCCAAGACGGCCCCAAGCACGGCACAACAGAGGAAACACGAACCGAGCATCCGAGACTTCCGCCCCGAGAGGCCCCTAGAGACAAGAGGAGCCCAGGAGGCCCCAAGAGGCCTCAAGAGGCCCCTACGAGGCCCCACGAGGCCCCCACGAAGGCCAAAAGAGACCCCAGGAGCCCCCAAGAGGCCTCCAAACTGCCTCCACGGGACCGCCGCGAGGGCTCCAACGAGATCCCTACGAGCATCCAACAAGCTTCAAACCCACAACCCAGGCACGGTGGCGGGATGGGCCGAAGGCCATTCGATCCGCCGCCCCCTGCTTGCAGGGGTGCACGGCGTGCTGGATGTTTCAGGTTTTGGTTTTGGTTCTTTTTCCAAAAGAACTCCCCAGTGGGCTCCGGCAGAACCCGCCGGCCACCCGGAAGGTGCTCAACGACCGGAAAAAATCCTCCAAAAAACGGCCGTTTCGCTCGGGACATCCTCAAAAAATCGCGAAGATGGCCCAAGATGGCCTCCAAGTCCGCCCGAGATGGTCCAAGACGGCCTCCAAAACGGCCCAAGAGAGTCCAAGACGGCCCAAGACGGCCCAAGAGGCCCCCCAGAGGCCTCCCAGACGGCCCAAGAGGCCTCCAAGAGGTCCTCCAGGAGAGTCCGAAGAGGCCAAAATCATTGATTTTTCCTTGGTTTTTGAAGGATTCTGGCATTTGCGCCTTTTCGGCTCTCCGACGGCTCAAGACGGCCCAAGAAGCCCCCAAGATCGCCCAAGAGGCCCCCAAGAGAGCCCCATGATGGCCCAAGTGGCCTCCAAGATGGCCCCTAGAGGGCCCCAAGAGGGCCCAAGAGGCCTCCAACACGCCCAAGATGGCCTCCCAGACGCCCAAGATGGCCTCCAAGACGGCCCTGGAGCATTCCAAGCGGGCCCCAAGTCGGCCCATAGAGGCCCCCCAAACGGCTTCCGACGGCTTCAGACGTGCCAGGAACCCACCAAGATGGCCGAAGTTGGCTCGAAGCTGGCCCGAGACGGCCCAAAAAGCCCCAAAGATCGCCCAAAGCTTGCCCAAGAGGCCTCCAAGACGGCCAAGATGACCTTCAAGATGCCCACGTGTTCCCCGAAGGCTTTCCAAACCGATTCGGGAACACGTGGTCCGATAGCTTGGCAGGTCTGGCCTCAACGTTCGGCCACATAGGCGCTTCCAAAAAGGCAGGGGGCGGCGGTGATTCGCCGTAGGCGTCTTCGATAGTTCCCGTTCTGGCTCCTTAGATGCAAAAAAATGAAATCCGCGCGAGGGGGGTAGCTGGAGAAGAATCCGCTGAACGCGCCAGAATCACGCACTCTGAAATAATGATGGGGGCCCCTGTGCACGTGGAAATACAACAGTGTCGTGCCCCCGAGGCCACATTCCATCAGATGTTACGTCACGCTTGCGCTCCCGAGCCCACACCCCTCGTACACTACGCCACATTGGCGATCTCGACGCCGCAATCCCTCGCGAAGTGCAGCGCGGTCACATCTCCAAGGCCATAACAAACCGTACATTACAACATACTCGCGCTCCCGCGGCTACAATTCCTACCTTGCACCATACACATCACACCACACGTATGTCAAATATAGCTTGCACAGCATAGCTGTCATCACATAACAGTCACCACGTAGCTTGCATAACATAGCTTACAGTACATAGCTTGAACCACATAGCTTGGACAACGTATCTTGCACCACATCGCTTACACATCCACAGTGACATACGACACTTTGCGGTGTCCACGCTGGCAAACGCTTGCGATTATGAGGAACTGAAGAGGAGGCTCATGGGGAAATGAAGGTCCCCGAGGGCCACGGGTGGGAGGGATGATTTCGAGCCTCGCATGCAAGGCGAGGGACGTACGTGGAAATGCCCTCCTGCTTCGCGAGGCCGCCCTGATGTCGCGAGCGCAAGCGTAATGTGCGCTGTCTCGAGACCATGCACTCAGATACGTGCACGGCTCTGCCTCGCTCCTGGAGAGGACTTCCTCTCTCCCAGTGGGAGGAAGGGGGGAGCCAAAGCGGAGAGCTGGGGTGGAGGGGGAGGAGACACCTGGGCTCGGCCCAAGCAGTGCTTGCTGTGCTCGGTGTCCTTCGCTTCGTCCTCGTGCAGCTCTTGCTGCAGAGTGGCATCGAAACGACCACTGCCGACGAGGTCGCAGAAGCACTGCTCGGGTCGAGCCCTGTGGAGTCTCCTGCGAGGCCCTTGCGGGCACGACCGGGACCTGGCAGCGGAGCTGGATGGGGAAGATACCAGGCCAGATCACGGAGCCATTACACAGTACCAGGCTGGACGGGGCCAGAGTTGAGCTGGCTGTTTAGCTCGTCCTGGCCAGATTGGGCCGGACTGGCACCAAGAGAACACCAGGGCCGCTGACTGGTTGGACCTGCCAGGAACGTCAGTGCACTGATGGAAGGGGACGACAGCGAGGGAGAGGCAGGGGAGGAGCGGAAGGAGAACCCGGAGTGGCGCGCGGCCCCGTTGCCACGGGAAGGCAGGAGGCACGGGCCGCGAGACGCAGGACACGAGGGCACCCTTGATTTGGCAGGGTCGGCCTGCTAGTCCGGGCCGATTGTAGGAGGAGGTCGCCGTTCGGCGCGGGCCCCTGCCCCCCACCTCCTCCCCTCCCTCCACAGTCACACAATATGAATACTACTCTCCTCTCTTCCCTGATGACGTCCGGAAGCTGTTAGCTGTTCGGCCCCCCTCCGCGTGCTATTTTTGACGCACAGGAGTCCCGGGCGTTGGGTTTTCGCTTGGGCATTTGTTTTCAGAATGTTGCTGCTTCCGCTCGTTCCGAATCGTGCTCCCGCTGCAGCGCTGGCCTCATTTCCGCGCTTCCGCTCGTTCCGAATCGTGCTCCCGCTGCAGCGTTGGCCTCATTTCCGCGCTTCCGCTCGTTCCGAACCGTGCTCCCGCTGCAGGGCTGACGTCATTAGTTCCAGGACCCTGCCACGGCCTGCAATACAGTGCTGTGTGGCGTTCCGCTGTGCGATGCCGTGCCTTCGGCTGCAGTGCCAGGATATGCAGTGCTTGACCACGCAGTGCCACGCCATGCTCTGCCATGCTACGCTTTGATCTTCAACGCCATGCTATGCCATGTTCTGTTCAGTGCCGCTGCGCGATGCCAATCTTTGCGTTGCAATGCTTTGTGCTGCAATTCTTCACTACGCCACGCCACGCCATGCTATGGCATACTCCGCTCTGCCGTGCTCTTCTACGCCCTGCTATGCCGTGCTCTGCGATACATCCCGCACCCTCTCGGGGTCACTGCCCTGCTCGACGTCCGACTGTGCGAATAGAGAGGAGATCTACGCCATGGTAAGGGATGGGAGGGGGGGTAGGACGTCAGATATGACGCGAGCGTACCTAGCTTGGCCCCCCCCCTCCCCCCCCCCCCTCTAGACCAGATCTTGGCTGCGTTTGGCAGTTGGTTTCTGGCAACTGGACAGGACCCCTTCCCCCTACTTGGCTGGCGGGACTGGAGAAAGCAGATCGACAGAGCACCGTCCCAGACCCAGCACCCCCCCTTCCCCAGAGCTGAAAGCATGGGTATGCTAAAAGCACACGTCATGAGGAGCATGCAGGATATTTGGCTGGAGTGGTGTATGCCATGCATTAGCACTTCAAATCCATAGTTCCAGCGGCTAAGGGCTGCGAAGGATGTATGCGAACACAAGGCGCATCCGCTCGCACATGTAATTCAGCGTCTGGTCGTCAGACTGAATGAGATCAGCAAGGGGAGAACGGCTCCTTCGATATCATCGCTTCGAGGTCCCCAGATCAGCCGCAAAAAATCTGAGCAAACCAATGGCTACAAGGAGACGCCAAGACTTGACAAATCATCAAACAACGGTTGGCCAGAAACCTCTCCGAAACGCAGGGGTCTCAAATCTCTGCCATGGACTGTCAAATCTGGCGGCTGGCAGACCATGGGTCGCGAAGCAAAGTCCGCATCCGTGAGCTCCGGGGAATAGAAAAAGTGGAAGTCCGTCTCCTGCGTGGGCGGACGCGAAGTCGCTGCGTGAAGCAGGCAACGCGCTGACCGACGCTGACACGCTGAAGACCACGGCAACATCAAGCGCGAGTGCACGCGCTCGAAGCAATTCTGCCACAAAGAGAAAGAGTGCCCACTGCTGCAAGACGCACGCGACAAACGCACCGACAGGCTGGCCAAGGCCGTGCCCCTGGCGTAGATAATTTAGCACGCTCTCTCTTCCATCCAACTCCCTTCTTGAGGGGCTTATCACTCCCACCCCCTCCCCTGGCTGGCTAAAAATCCGAAATCATGGCCCTTCCCCCACCACCCACGTCAACAAAGACAACACACAAAGTGCGCTTTGCGGCAAAATCTGAAATATGTCTGGCCGCCCCGCGATCATTTTGCACTGTTCTTTGACAGGGATGAAGGGGCTACCCTGGCACGCGCGGCGCACATCGCGGGAGTCGCACACTTGGCTAGCGTCTGCGTTGGTCCCTGGTAATCATTGTCGACGGCGGCCCCCGCACATGCTGAGACTCGGGTGCTACTTATGTGGTGGGAGGGCAGGTGGGAGTGAGCCAGACGGGCGTCCTTCGGTCTTCGTTAGCTTGATCACTCCTTGTGAGTATCCGCCACCGTGCCCTTGAGGCACGTTTTGGAGTGTCCTCAGGTCCGTGGTCCGATGCCTGAAGCCCGCAGATCATCAATCCTCTCTTTCTTTCTTTCGTTCGTTGCTGGGCCTCGGGAGGCCGCAGTATAGAATCCGTGTGGCCAGCCAGGGAATTCCTGCATGCATGGAAGACCACATCGTGCTGTGGTCCCGTGTAAGGCGCGCGAGACCGTGCACAGCGCAAAAATGAGCCGGACGACCCCCTCTCGCTGGCGCAATGGGAGCAAACCAGAGCCATCTTCTTCACGTTGATCTTGAGACTGGCACTCGCGGCGCCGCTCGTAGCAGCAGCGCTTGTGGGTGGGTCCTTTCGCCTTGTTTTCCAGCCTGACTGTCAATATCTACGGAAGCTTGCCTGTGCAGTCGCATACAGCAAAAAAAAAGCCAGAGCCATCATGATCCCCCAGGCTTCTGCTTGGAGGCTACCGCCGAACTTGTGCTGGCGACTGCTGCTGCAACCCTGGCGGTGCTTCGAGGGGCCCGGGCCCCACACTCTTAAGTCTCTTGCGCCCCGCCCCCCCCCGCGGGGGGCACGCCGTAGAACGAGGGGGGAGCGGGAGGATGCAGGACGAGTCTGGTCTCAGGCAGGAACGTGGTTGGAAGTCTGCCAAGGGAACTCGACAGAGCAACCTCGCTGGGAAGTCAAACGCAGCCCTGACTCTGTAAAGCGTGATAGCCGATCCCCCCTTGGAGCCCGAACCAAATCATCTCCTGCCCGGAAAGATGGGGCATCCACCAGGAGGCAACTGGGCCAGCCTGTCCTGGGCGGAGACTTCAGAACCTGCGGCAGTCGTGGATCCGCAGATGCTGACGTTGGCGAGTCCTTCCCCCTCCTCCTTCTCCTCCCTCCTCCTTCTCCTCCCTCCTCCTCCTCCTCCTCCTTCTTCCTCCTTCCTCCTTCCTCCTTCCTCCTTCATCCTTCATCCTTCATCCTTCCTCCTCCACCCAGCATCATCGTCATTACTTGTCTCATCGTTTGTACCCTCATCGTTCCGCTCCATCTCGCCTGACTCCTCTGCAGCCTCCCCCAGGACACGGGGCGTCGTCAGACTCACATTCGACCGCGTGGCAGCCAACATGAAGAGGCAAGAGTTATTACGCACGGAAGTGACTCTGGGCCCAACTCGACTAGCAAGACTGCCAGAAGCTGACGTCCTCGCAAGACTGGCAAGGCTGGCAGTCTGGGTTAGGGCCATAGACTGGGGAAACTGGCAAGACAGCAGGGTGTCCTTTTCGACTGGCAAGAGCTTGTCGCGATATATCCTGACAAGGGGCGAGCGCACAACAGCGCGCGCGCTCCGCCCGCGCGGGGGGAGGGAACGGGAACCGCGCGGGGTCAAGGGGGGAGGAGGAGGAGGCCCTCGGTGCGTAACGGTAGGCGCTCCCAATGATCGGCGGCGAGCGAAGGGGAGGAAGTGAGAGGGAGAATGCCCTCTCAGAAGGCAGCGGGGCTTCTCAGAGGCCCTCGGGCCGTCTGAGAAGCTTTATGCGTCTCCGGGGAAGGTGCATACATTTTCTCAGAACCATTTCCCCCCGGGCTCGCCCCCGAAATGAGGGGTCCTGACACGGAGCTGTCACAGGGGGGCAGCGGAGACACAGGGGGCAGACGGGCGAAATTCGGCGGTGGACAAACCTCCCTTTAGTAAACTTCCCCTTAGTGAAAGCGGCCGAAGACCAAAACCTACGGACCTGGACCCGCAAAAATGACGGCCGCGACGCCCTCTCGCGAACCGGAGACGGCCAATTTCTTAATCGACGTGTCATGGCAGGAGGTCTGTCCACCTCCGAGAAATATATGAGGAGGCTCGACAACGTTCTGCTGAGTTCGGTGCCGCACGCCCTCGTCCATTCCGCTCCGCCGCCAGAGCAATGCCTGCGCGCTCGACGACACCGGAAGCCTCTTCGCGGGCCGCGGGCTGCTCGGTCCTGCCAGCCTTCGATTCAGCTCGAAGCCCCGAGGACGAAGGCTGAAACCACCTCCCACACACACACACACACACACACACACACACACACACACACACACACACACAAACACACACACACACACACACATCAACACACACACACCCACTTTTCTCCGCGGCCGCGGGTGGGGGGGAGGGCGAGCACTCAGAGGTGGAAGACTTCCGCCGAGAGCAGCCGGTGCGGACACCCCCACACACAGACACACACACACACACACACGCACACACACTTGGCCTCGCGGTCACGCGCGCGAAGACGCGGCGTAGAGCGAGTCAAGCGGAAGAGCGCGGGCTGGGCCAGTTCGAGCAGCACAAACACGCGCACACACATGCGCGCAGCGGAATCGGGCACGGGCAAAGGCCACCGCACGCACAGACACGCACGCACAGACACGCGCGCACGCGCGGGGAGCACGCGGAGGCCGCGTGTCGGATGCAAATGTGGAGGGCCAGCGTGTCGCCTACACGAGGGCGGAGCGCTGGAAATAGGCGCGGCCGCACGTGTCTGTCGCTTCCCCAGACCCGCCACTTCACGTTTGCCAAGGCTCTCTGGCACACAGCAGCCATGTCGAAGGCTTCACATGTGTGCGGCGATGTGGAATTGCCCCATGCTGCCGAAAGATTCCAGGCACGACAGGCGGTCCTCGCGATAGCGCGGAGTAATTTGGCCAGGCCCTCGAGCTTTCATTCGATACGATCAATCCCGGATCAGGAACCGTTCTGCGCGTGTAAAAAAAAACAGCGAGCGACAAGAGATGTGGCGCCACTCGGGGTGGAAACCACGTCGCATTCTCCGCCTAGCTGGGGAAACCAATGGGTACCAATACCGCTACTCCCCGGATCTATCCGGGAGTGCGTTCTGACGAGAATTTCGAGGCGAATCCAGCGGTAGCGACGAGGGCACCAGCCCAGCACTGCAACCAAAAAAGCAGGGCAAACCAATACGGCAGACCAACTGTACCGTGCTCGTCTGGGCTGCCGCGATCGTCTGGTTTGCCGTGCTGGTCTAGCGTACCTCTCTGGGGCTCCTTGGGCCTATTCGGTACCTCTCTGGGGCTCCTTGGGCCCAAATGAGCGCCAAGGACGATGCCCCTTATTGGTCCTCTGCTGGATGTCTCGAAACCTGAAGGATCTGAGGCCTTCTTGAGGCCCTCGTGGGCCCGTCTTGGCGGCGTCTTGGGATGCTACTGTGCCCCCCTGAGCCCCTCTTGGGCCTCTTGGACGCTAGGAAGAACAAAAAGGCGAAGGTGCTGAACATGCACATTTCCCCAAAAGGAATGGAGCGATGTTTGCCCCATCGGGCGGGCGTCTTGGGAACCTCTTAGACCGTCCTGAGGCCATGCTGGGCGTAGTGGACGGGTCTTAGGCCGTCTTGGCCTCTGGGACCATCTCGGTGGCCTCTTGAAAATGTCTGAGAGCGCGGGCAACCCCAGCACACCCCGATGCCGTGCCCTTCCAGGGACTGGAGGGCCTTCACCCGCCCTACAGTTTTCGGATCTAGGCCAGAAGAAGATCCCTCAAGAGCATGATATCATCCGTCGGCCAACACAAACAAAACATCCAAGGGTACCCTGCCCATAATGCACAAAAACATCAAACAAACACAAGGAACACTAGGGTACCCTCCACGAACCGACCTCGATCTTATACCTCGGTCCGACTGCATAGGGGAACTCCCCCTAACCCCTACCCCTGGATCTGGACGGGGCGCCGCGTCCAAAATGAGCCAAGATGACTCTAAGAGGACCTCGGAGAGGCCAACATAACCTGAAAGCCAGCTCTAGATATCCGAGGATGCCTCAAGACTGCTTCCAGCATACTCCAAGAGGCCACGGACGCTACAAGACCGCCCAAAGCTGGCCTCAAATGGCCACGGAGCCCACCAAGGCGGCCCCAGGGAGGCCCAAATCCTTCATCAAAACCTTGATGTCGCCGATGATGCTTGCATTGTCGCTTTTTCCTCCTCCTCCTCCTCCTCCTCCTCCTTCTCGTCCTCCTCCTTCTCCGAGGCCTCAAGATGGTTTCAAGAGGGCCCAAGAGAGCCCCACAAGAGGGCTCCAAGACAGCACCGAGGGCCCAAGAGCGGCCCCAAGAGGGCCCCAAGAGGCGATGCTTCTGGCTCCAGCGGGGGGGGGCTAATCAGGGAAGCTCTCGTCTTTGATAGATGTCCCCCCAAAATGGTCACAAGAGGGCCCGAAGAAAGCCCCCACAGGGCCCCAGGAAAGCAGAACCCCGAAAGGGCCCCAACATGGCCCCGAAGGCCTCCCGACTGGCCCCAACAGGACGACTCCAACGATGGCCCGGGTACGCTGCCAAGAGCCTCCCATCTCGAAAGATCCGCGCGAAGGCACACGCTTGAACCCAGGAGCTGCTCAGGCAGGTCCCGATCTTCGGTTCGACGGCTGTCCCCGCCTCTTTGCTCCACTGCGTGCTCTCGCGCTTGCCTGATCACTGCAACCCGCCCGGGCATCGTTGATGGATGGGCTGGTGGAGATACTTGTTCCGTCGCGGCCGCAGGCGAAAGCGCCCACAGCGTCAGCAGAGCAGGCTCGAGCTGCGAGCAACCGAATGGCCAGCGCGCGCGCGCCGGCTGGTGGAGATCCGCGGAGCGTCATGAGCTGCATATGTGGAACCTCCAGCCGTGGCGACCTGGACCCCACAGGAAGCCCAGACGAGGCCCCAAACTTCGAAGCCCTACTTTTTTGCTCCCTCCCTGCCTGCCCCCTTCCTCCTCCAACTCCCCCATCCCTCTCCCCCATGATTAACCCTTCCCCGCCAAGTCCCAGAATATGTCGGCAGGACGGGCCGGGCGTTTCGTCTGAGAGGTCCTGGGCCCCACAGGAAGCCCACACGAGGCCCAACACTTCGAAACCCTACGTCGTTCTCCCTCCCTGCCTACACCCTTCTCAGTCCAACTCCCCCATCCCTCGTCCCTCTGATTAACTCTTCCCCGCCGAACCCCAGAATACGTCGGCAAGACAGGCCAGGCGGTTCGTCTGAGAGCTCCTGGCCCCGTGTGATCCTGAAGATAGCCGTCCCCAGCGGCCACACGGGGGGAGGCTCCTCTCTGGAGCGGGGACCGGCCGCCCCGGCATTCCCAGAGGCCTACCACGACGGGCTCTTGGAACCAAAGGGAATGCCAAAATCTCAAAACAAAACAGCGCTCTCGGAACATCGGGCCGATTGAGTAGAGCAAGACTGCATCAGACGAAAGTGCCCTGAGAACATAGTGCACGCCAGGAACGTTCGGTGGTAACTCATGGGAGCCTTCCCTACAGTCAGTCGTGTCGGCTCTTGCGAATCGGCGCGAATCGACACTAGTCGACGCGAATCGACGCTACATCGACGCTAAATCTACGCTAATCGACGCTAGCCGACGCTAAAGTTGCGCTATCTCATCGGCTCCCATACGCTAGTCGACGCCAATCGACGCTGACGACGGAATTCAGAAGGTATACTAGGCTCCCATGGCTTGCTACCGAAGGAACGGTTCCTGGAACACTTTGGGCCTGTAGGCAAGTCAGGACGCCTGGTCATTGCCTCGACTCTCCCCGGCTCTCCCGGATGCCCCCTCCGACCGCAGCGCCACGCTGCGCAGCAGCCGCGACCCCACTCGGGGGAGGAGGGGGGGGGGGCTCCTACCTGCCCCCCTGCCAGCGTGGCCTCGACCCCCCTCTCTCTTCCCCTCTCCCCCTCCTTCTGCTCCTCCTCCTCCCCGTCCACCGCGGCGTCGATCTCCCTCCTTCGCCCTCGCCCCCACTCTCCTCGGCCTCCTGCTGCTCCTCCCCCTTCTCTTCCCCTCTGCGCGTGCTCCCCCTCATCCCACAGCCCACCTCGAAACCTCATCCTCATACTCTTCGTCGTCCTACTCCCTCCCCCTCCCCCTCCTACCCCTCCTCCCCCTCCTCCTCCTCCTCCTCCTCCTTCTCCTCCTTATCCTCCTCATCCTCCTCCTCCTCCTCCTCTGGGCAGGGACCGACCGTCCCGGCATTCCTATAGGCCTACCACGACTAGAACCCAAATATGTTCGAATAACAATGACAATGTTCTTAGAACGTGCACCCGATGTGTTAAACATATACGGCATCAGCACGAAATGTTCTAAAGACATTTCTTGCAGATCACAAAAGGTTCTTAGAACATTCTTTGGTGGGCCTATAGGCCAGCCAGGACGCCTCGCCACTGCGTCGCTCCTCCCCATCCCTCTCTCATCCTCCGTCCCCCCACCTTCACCCCGGACCCCCCACACGCCACGGCCGTCCTCCTGCTGATCCTTCCTCCTCCTAGTCCTTCTCTTCCTCCTCACCCTCCTCCTCCTCCTCCTCGTCCTCCACCTCCTCCTCCTGCTCCTCCTCCTCCTCTTCCTTCTCCTCCTCCCCATCCCTCTCTCATCCTCCTCCCCCCCTCCCCCCTTCACCCTGGCCCCCGCACACGCCCCCGCCGTCCTCTGCAGACCCTCGGTGACGCTGACAAAGGCCTGGCTGCCGCAGCCGGCCCGCTCTCGCGGAGGGGGGAACAAAGAGTGGAGATCGCACCGACGGTGCCACTGCACGGAACACTTCGTTTCGTCGGCGGCGAGGCAAGGAGTATCTGCACCAGCGATAGAGCGAAACGGGGGCACCGAGAAGCGAATTGCCCAGCATGCAGGAGAGGGGAAAACAGACGGACAGGGCGGCCGTGGAGGAGGAAGGAAAGGGGGGCACTCAGAGGCGGAAGACTTCCGACATGAGCGCGCTGACGCGGCCGGCCTCGTCGGAAGGTGTCTGGCTGTCTGGCTGTGTCCTGATACACACCGCCTCGTGAAACCGCTGGGAGCCGGGCCAACCGGGGACACCGCGTGCACCGACCTGCAGCAAGCGGGCGCACGCATTGGTACCTCGGCCTGGGAGACAATGAGGAGCTGCACAGGGGAAGGGAAAGAGAGAACACATGAACCTGGGAGTTCCGTCTGAAATCGATGGCACGCGAGCCTGCGCTTCGTGGCCCAGTCGCTCTCGGGGTCTGGCCGAAAATGATCCATAGGATGCATCAGCGATGCTGCAATACAACCTCACGCTGGTAGCACTCTGTTTAGATAAAGGAAGCCTGTCTGCCACTCAGGCGGGCAGCCTCTTTTTGAAAAGGAACTGCCCTGCATCCTCCTAGGTAGAAGGAATGCAAAGGGGTCGGAGCGTCAAGGTCACAAAGTGTCCTGCTATCACCCTATTGTTCTTTAAACGAGAAAGAACCGCCATCCGACCGTGTAAGTGTTCTACCATGAAGCGTCTTTCCATCGGAATGGAAGGAGATCCAGCCGAGAGTCGCGCGTTTTGAAAGAAGCATACTTCTATGCTTGTTTACTGCTGCATGAGCTCAAGATGCTGGCCACGAATTTTGAAGGAACCGCACAACCATCACTGTAGCTGCTGGAGATCTCTTTCAAACGAATGTGCGCGGCGCTAGGGTGAGATTCACATCCTGAATACGATCCACTCTCCATCTGTAAGTGAGGAGGAACAATCGGGGGGGATTAACTGAAAGGGGGAAGGGGACATCGAGCTTGAATCGGCGATACATCGCCGATAGAGTGGCGGTACGCTCCCGATAGCGAAACCGCACGTTCCTAGCGGGGTGGGCCATCAAGCCACCATCGGCGATGACTGGGCGATTGGGGGTCGATACTCCCTCCCCTGAGCCAGACCCCCCCTGGATACGGCAAGCAAACCCTGGAATCTCTCCACACACCTCCATGAGCCCCAACACTCCCCCTCATCTTCAGGGGGCCCTAAAACCGCGTGCTGACAGACCCGAAGAACTGACCGCAGGGTCCGTCGCCACACGGCTTCGGGACCTCGTGACCCCTGTCGCCCGAGACATCCTCGCAGAACGACCCAGATCCCAAAACCGTGCGGTGACCCCGAATCCCCACCGACTCACCACACGGCGTGGTCACCACACCGCTTGGGGGCCCCCGAGCACCTCTCCTGCCATGATTCCCGTCTCGCCTTCTTGGACTGGGCCCAGGCGCCGATCCGAGAGACCCGTGCGAAGCTCCAGAAGTTCACGCGCATGCACTATTTCCCAACCTTTGTTGTTGGGTCCTCGTTTTGAAGAGACGGTCCCCGCGTTTCCTCCTCCTCCTCCTCCTCCTCCTCCTCCTCCTCCTCCTCCTCCTCCTCCCTCCTCTCCATCATCATCATCATCATCATCATCATCATCATCATCATCATCATCATCATCATCATCATCATCATCATCATCATCATCATCATCATCATCATCATCATCATCATCATCATCATCATCATCATCATCATCATCATCATCATCATCATCATCATCAGCATCACCATCATCATTACCATCAGCATCAGCATCACCATCATCATCAGCATCATCATCATCAGCATCTTCATCATCGTCATCATCATCATCACCATCATTATCATCATCGTCATCATCATCATCACCATCATCGTATCATCGTCGTCATCATCATCAACATCAGCATCACAAACATCATCACCCCCATTACAACGCTTCGTGGCCCCATGGGGCTCCACCGAAGGTCCCCCGGGCGCAGTCCGCATGCGTCTCCCCCACCCAGTACAGCGTTTCCTGGCCCCATGGGGACCTGCACCGAAGGTCCCCGTGGCGCAGTCCGCATGCGGTTCCCCCATCCAGTACAGCGCGTCGTGGCCCCATAAGGAGCTCCACCGAAGGTCCCCGTGGCGCAGTCCGCATGCGTCTCCCCCACCCAGTACAGCGCCCCGTGGCCCCGTAGGGGTTCCACCGAAGGCTCCCGTGGCGCAGTCCGCATGCGTCCCCCTCACCCAGTACAGCGCTTCGTGGCCCCATAGGGGGCGCCACCGAAGGTCCCCATGGCGCACTCCGCATGCGTTCCCCCCACCCACTACAGCGCTTCGTGGCCCCCATAGCGGCTCCACCGAAGGTCCCCGTGGCGCAATCCGCATGCGTCTCCCTCCCCCAGGACAACGCTTCGTGGCCCCATATGGAGCCACACCGAAGGCCCCCGTGGCGCAGTCCGCATGCGTGTCCCCCACCCAGTACAGCGCTTCGTGGCCCCGTAGGGAGCTCCACCGAAGGTCCCCGTGGCGCAGTCCGCATGCGTTTCCCTCACCCAATACAGCGCGTCGTGGCCCCATAGGGAGCTCCACCGAAGGCTCCCGTGGCGCAGTCCGCATGCGTGTCCCCCACCCACTGCAGCGTTTCGTGGCTCCGTAAGGGATCCACCGAAGGTCCCCGTCGCGCAGTCCGCATGCGTCTCCCTCGCCCAGTACAGCGCTTCGTGGCCACATAGGGAGCGCCACCGAAGGCTCCCGTGGCGCAGTCCGCATGCGTCTCCCCCACCCAATGCAACGCTTCGTGGCTCCATAGGGGTTCCACCGAAGGTCCCCGTGGCGCAGTCCGCATGCGTCTCCCCCACCCAGTACAGCGCTTCGTGGCCCCATATGGGACCTCCAGCGCAGTCCGCACGCGGCTCCCCCACCCAGTACAGCGCGTCGTGGCCCCATAGGGACTTCCACCGAAGGTCCCCGCGGCGCACTCCGCATGCGTCTCCCCCACCCAGTGCACCTCCGTCGGAGCCCGTCGGAGTTCTGCGCCTCGCTCGCCCGTCGTCGCTCTGCCCAGCGGCAAGAGCCTTGCCCGCTATCAGCCAGCCAGCTAGCTCCCTTTGCTCCGCGCAGCGGACGACCCGCACGCGTCGCTAGGACCCTTCCGGGGCGACCTGCGCGCGTCGCGGGGACTCCGCGCTGCGCTGCGCCCGCATCCTTGGACTTTTGAGTGCGCGGGCAAAGAGGGAGTAAAAGAAGGGGAGGAGGCGGGCGCGATCCTCGCGGGGGGGCGCGCCGACATTGGCGTCGCGGCGCGCGGGCGATGCCGTCGGGGAGTCCCGGGGCAGCTCCTTGCGGCGGCCACGCCCAGCGTCACGAGTACTCAGAGGCAGTCATTCTCAAACTATTGACATTCATATACAATTACACCATACTTTGTCAGACTCGCATTCACGCACGTAGACTCACTCGCACGCAGATTCATTCACAGTCAGACGAACTCGCGCTCAGATTCACCCGCGCTCAGTTTGCCTACGTACTTAGATCAATCGTTGTCGTTCGCGTTGTGTACCACGCCACTCATTTCGGCACACCCCTGGCACGGTTCGTTGCCTCATAGAGATCACCACCGAAAAAGTGAATCACAATTGCGGTACTCACACCTGCATATGGTTGGGTCCTTCATGAGGCTAATTTGTTCCTCGAAGGTACGAGGGTGAGGAGGTGGCGACACATCGGCAGGCCGAGGGCGGCGTGGCAGCGAGAGTGCCAGCACATGCGCCAGTGGGCATGGGGCGTTGCTTTCCCTTTCGGTCTCAGCGATGGCGCGGGCGAGGGCGCAGCCAAAGCTTGGCTACACCGGGAGGCCCAAAAGAGCGGCACAAGCGGATGTGTTCCCAGCCGGCGGGGGAGAGGGATCCAGCGAGAATCAAAAGAAAACGCGCGGACCTGCGAAAGTGCATGTTTATGTCATGTATGACCTTACTTGTCTCGGGTATACATACGGCCCTCGATAATTTTGCACTTGTTAATACCGTCGCTTACGCACCGCATTCGGAGAAAGCCCCCATATGGGACCATGAAGCGGGTGAGGGGTGTGCCAAAATGGGTGCGGTGACCGCATGCGAACGCTGGCATTTGGGCCTTCGGTGGGGCTCTTTGTGGGGCCACGAAACGTGTAAGGGGTGTATCAAAATGGGCACGGTGGCCGCATGCGAACGCTGGCAGTTGGGCCTTCGGTCGAGTTCCCGTTGGGGCCACGACACGTGTGAGGGGTGTGCCAAAATGAGCGCAGTGACCGCATGCGAACGCTGGAATTTGGGCCTTCGGTGGGGCTCCTTATGGAGTCACGAAACGTGCGAGGGTGTCCCAAAATGGGCGCGGTGGCCGCATGCGAACGCTTGCAGTTGGACGTTCGGTGGGGCTCCTTGTGGGGCCACGGAGTGTGTGAGGGGTGCTCCAAAATGGGTGTGGTGTCCACATGCGAACACTGGCATTTGGGCCTTCGGTGGGGCTCCCTTTGGGGCCACGAAACGTGTAAGGGGTGTGCCAAAATAAACGCGGTGGCTGCATGCGAACGTTGGCAGGTGGGCCTTCGGTCGAGTTCCCGTTGGGGCCACGAAATGTGTGAGGGGTGTGCCAAATTGGCGCGGTGGCCACATGCGAACGCTGGCAGTTGGGCCTTCGGTGGGGCTTCCGGTGGGGCTTCCTGTGGGGCCACGAAACGTGTGAGGGGGCGTGCCAAAATGTGCGCGGTGGCCGCATGCGAACGCTGGCATTTTGGCTTTCGGTGGAGCTCCCCATGGGGCCACGAAACGCGAGAGGGGCGTGCTAAAGTGAGGGGGGTGACGGGAGGAAGGAGGAAAGGGATGAACAGGAGGATCGGATCGACTCGGCAGGAGGACGCGTCAAGCATCTCAGCGCCGTCTGGGGCGCGCCCGTTGGCGCGCCACAAGGAGGAGTAAAACTCAAAAACAGTTTCTGAGCATGCAGTCTGGAGCTGCATGCTCTAAAAAGCCACCACGATCCCCAACCTGCCGCCCTCTCGAGGCCTCTCTGAGGCCTCGCGGATCGAAGTCCAGGGAAAAAAGAAAATGTAAAAACTAAACCTGCAGGCTCCTCCTCCTCCTCCTCCATACCGGCCTTGCGGTACTCGAAGTTCTGGAGGGCATGGTGGAGGAGGGCCTGCAACGGTCGGGCCTGCGGTGCATCCTGCGACCCACCGTTCCCGTCTATCCCGCCTGTCTGTCCCGATCCTTGACCTGTCTGGCTGAGAGACTTATTGAAACATTTCATGCTGCAGCCACGTGTGCGGTGTGCGTGGGTGGGTAAGTGTATGTGATATTAGTGCAGGGAATCATGATGTGGCCTTGCGACATTACTGGCTTGGAACTAGCCAATACCTTATGTCATTCGGCCCGAACGTGGCTGCTGCTGCTGATGCTCCTC